ATGTAGTTACTATTAATAATGAGATCATACAATGTATTATAAGGTGCATAATTAATGCGCTAAAATATATATTGTAGTATATGAAGGCTTTAAGTAGAGTGTTCAAATTAATAGGCCAGTAATGCTCATCCTAACTAATAATATTAATAAAACAAATAACAGTAATAATAACACTCAAATGATAATAATACTATTGATATTTACCAATACCAGTAGGTTATTAATGCATAGCCTACCAATGCCCATACTAATATGCACACTAATACTATTTTATACCAAATGGAATACTTACTATATGTTCATACTAAACTAACAGCATACTAATACCAACTCTTACTCAATCTAATGCTAATACTCCGGCATTTATTAATATTAATAATGTCTGTAAAAGGGCTGTTTAAGTCAAAGAGATCAAAGTGTGACCATACTGTATAAAACAACTACACAAGACAGGATAAACACAGACTGTGTCCAAAACCTAGTGTGCTGCCTAGCTAGACACTATTTGTGGGCGTCACAAGATGCCTAAGTTTTAAGTCACAGCCAGAATAATACTAATGCTCACATTGATCCTAATACTAACCCTAATACTAGTACTATTGTAACAGTCTACTAATAATCTTAATAACACTAGTAGCTACTGATGCTCATTCTAACACTAAACACCAATGGCTACTAGTGATACACCAATACCATCAGGTTACTGATGTATACTATACTATACTTTAGTATAGTATACTATAATATATTAATACTAACACAACACTTGCACTATACACACTAATACTATTGATATTTCTAATGTAAATTGGAATACTTAGTGTATGCTAACACTAATACTAACAATAGTACTGCTTTAGCTGTCTGTAAAAAGGCTGTTGAATTCAAAATGTGACCAGACTGCATAAAACAGCTACGCAAGGCAGGCTAAACAGAGACTGTTTAAAAACCTAGTGTCTAGCTAGACAGCATTTGTAGGCATCATAATGCTTAATAAGTTTTAAGACACAGCCAGAACCCAGATAGCACAGGTACGTCTGCAAGACGTCTGTTAACGATCGCTTCATCTGGAAAGCATCTGCAGTGTACAAACATCTGATAGACGTCTTTAAGACGTCCGTTTTACATACATTCTAAATCATAAACATCTTAAAGACATCTTCTAAACGTCTACTTGACATCTGTTAGGAAACATCTCAGAGATGTGCAGATGAGCAAAAAAATCTTGCAGAAGTAAATGCAGACATCAAATAGACATCTCCGTGATGTACGTGTGCTATCAGAGAATGTACAATACATACTCATACTGTTAATAGCAACGAATGCTCATTCTAATACTAATAATTTTACTAAAACTAATACCAGTACGAACAGCATACAAATTGTCTTAATAACTGTCACCCCCCCATTTTGTAAAATAGGCATGAAAGTGCACTATCCAAACTTAAATTGTTGTAATTTATGAACACTTTGGAATACAGAGATAAGGTTGGTCTCTTTTTAAAGAGGAAAATCAGCAAATTATCGCAAAAAATGTAAGTATCAAAAAGTTATAGTAGTTTAAATTACTGTAAAGAAAATGCACTATATTAATTTGATTTGATTTTATATATAATAAATATTTGACATATCATGTTTTACTCTAAAATTGGTATAAAATTATAGCCTTATGTCTAAATAAGTTATGTTCCAAATTTGAAGTTGATATGAAAAAAATTGAGGTTCCTGCGAGATTTTATTTAGGGTGTTATACCACAAACAGCCACCGGGTGCCATCCAAACTCCATTGAATTTTTTTTAATGCTTTTTTTCTGTCACAAATGTCTAGATTTCTCTGTCAATATTACTTCTATCTCAAAATACCACCAAATATGGAATCCTGCTATGTTTTTTGTCAAGATTATAAAACATTTTGATTTTAAAAGACCGTAATATTGTAATATGACACTTGACACGGCCCACTAAGGGGGAGGAGACCGCCAGAAGATTTTAAAGTACCATTTCCATGGTAACGCAATGTCTGATTTCGAAATGGTTTTCACAGGATGAATCTTGGGCTTCTAAGCTTTCAAATGATATATGATGATTACTAAAAGATTTGATAGAGAAAAAAGACAACAACAAAAAGAGTGCCAAACGTCCCACAGGTGGGACGGTGACCGTTAAGGGGTTTTAAGAATACTAATAGCTACTATTGGTACATCTGCAAGACGTCTGTTAAAGCTTGCTTCATCTGGAAAGCATCTGCAGTGTACAAACATCTTTAAGATGTCAGTTTTACATACATTCTAAATCATAAACATCTTAAAGACATCTTCTAAACGTCTACTTGACATCTGATAGGAAACGTCCTCTAGACGTATTGCAGATGAGCAAACACTCTAAAAAATACGTCTTGCAGATGCAGACGTTAAATAGACCTCTCCGAGATGTAGGCTACGTGTATGCTATATCAGGGAAAGATTGATACCAATAGCCGTAGGTTACTAATGCTCCTATACTAATATACTATAGCTATTTTTAATGCAAATTGGAATACTTACTGTATGCTCATACTACGCACTATTATGCTAATAATATGGCTATTACTAATGCTCACACTAATATTGCTGATACTCACACTAATGTAATTCTCTGTGCAGTTATTTAAACATGAAGCGTGTGTCGTTGTTAAAGCACGTATGTAAACATAAGCCGAGGAGTTGAAGTTGCGCTACCTGTCGTCCGTCTGCCAGTCCCCGAGCAACAGGTCTCGGAACCGGTACCGCGGCGGCAGCGGCAGAACCTCCTTCTCCAGCTCCACCATAGTCAGCAAAGCGCACAAATCAACGCGGGGTGAAAATTCAAACGCCTTCGCCCTCGCTTATCCCTCCGCCGCGATTGTTTCAGGTCGCTCAGATATATGAAGTGTTGTCATCACTCGGGAACGGGAGAGACAGGTCTAGATCCACGGTCACAGCAGCGACTGAGCAACTGGTGCCTTCCCGAGCTCACCGTGCACTGACACAAGACGCTGCGCCTGCCTGGACATCCTGCTCCATTGCTGACACAAGCTGTTTCACATCAGCTGTAACAGTTGCCAGTTATTGCTGCAGTGCATTATTTCACCATTGTCCTGTATTGATTGAGGCATGTGCTATTTTGAGGGGTGGGCAAGTTAAGTATAATCCAGCAACCCGCTTGCAGTAATTTCGTCTGCTGCATTGTTGGAAAACGCAGATGGCGATAAATCCACGCACGCACTTCAAACACCGCTTTTATGCCTGATATGTCAAACAAAACTCAAGTGTCAATCAAAAAGCACTAATGTAGGCGATGAGAAAACCCATCTTCATCACTGCCGTAAATGATCAATTTCACAAGACCAAATATAGTGCAGTGAATTTCACACTGTAACTGGAGAATGTGATAGGTTTGCAAATAAGCAGCGTGAAATGTGCAGAAAGTAAAGGGTGACACCTGTTGCGGTGTTTGACATGCTTTATCCGCATACATATGCAGTTGGCATAATAATGTAATCAAAATCAAAGAAGTGGAATTTTCACGCCGGAGTCAAATTAATTGTGTTGTCACATTCGATTTGAACCCTGGCACAGAATCCAGCCTTCAGTGCAGCTCTGCTGCTGGCAGTAATACAGGGAGATCTGGAGCGCTCTGCCCCCTAGCGGCATCCTGCGGGAGACGCTCAATAAATCTATCGTGTTCAGCTCCTGAAAGGTTTGATTTACCATCAATCCCAACATGTAAAGGATTGATGGGCTTTTTACAGGCACATCTGTTCTGTTGTGGCGTTAGAGTGATTCTCATCAAGGCTTTAATGCTGCAGAATGCTACTAAACAACACAATAAAAGAACATTCAGGTAAAGGCTAAGGTGATGTTATCAGATAATACCATGGTACACATATACACCACTATTCAAATGTTTGGGAATTAAGATTTTTTTTTTTTTTATAAAGAAATTAATACTTTTATTCAGTAATGACGCACTAAATTGATCAAAAGTGACAGTAAAGACACTTCTAATGTTCATTTGAACTTCATATTTTCCCCAAAATTCTGATTTTTTTTTTTTTATCAAGATTTCCAGGAAATGGTTTCAACTGATAATAATAATAAATGTTTGTTGAGCATCAAATCAGCATATTAGAATGATTTCTGAAGGATCATGTGACACTGAAGACTGGAGTAATGATGCTGAAAATTCAGCTTTACATCACCGGAATAAATTACACTTTAAAATATATTCAGATAGAAAACGGTTTATTTTATTTGTACTAATAGTTCACAATATTACTGTTTTTACTCTATGTTTGACCAAATAAATGCAAATTTGGTGAGCATAAGACACTTCTTTCAAAAACATTAACATTTCCTGACCCCCAACATTTGAACAGTAAGTGAGTGCATGTGTATATTTTTACTTTAAAATCTACCATGGGTTAAAAGTTTTAAAATCCCATGATTGTACCAATGGTATTCATGGTTGAACGAATAAGACTAGATTGGTATAATGAATGACGAAGAATAAAATGTTCTTAGAAGTTAATATTAACATTCATGCTGCCTCTTAAAAGGCATTATCTTAAAAGATAAAAGATACAATAAAAAATATACAAATTCTGAAAAAATGATGAAAACGACAGATATGCTATTCAAAATGAAGACAAAAAAATTCTATATAGAAAAACATTGCTTCAACATTGCCATAACACACTACTCTTGTGTGAAAGAATGTGGTTGCAATCAAAAATGACAATACATTTTTTTTTTTTTTTAACAGTTTCTATGAAAAACTGTTAAAACTCTTGTAGGCTTATCCTGACAGGCATAAGCAGGGCTAGATGATATAGCTAATTTCAGCTTTGCATAACAGAATAAATTACATTTTAAAATATATTCAAATAGAAAACTTATTTTAAATTGTAATAATATTTAACTACATTACTGTTTTACTTTATTTTGATCAAATAAATGCAGCCTTGGTGAGCATAAGACTTCTTACTGATCCAAACCTTTGAATGGTCGCATATATGACTGAGCTCTAACAGAAAGGGATGCTAACAGAAATCCATCACTTACTGCTGTTCGAGTTGTGAAAACACAGTCAAACATATCACAGCCCAAGGCACCGCAGACCACCAGGTCTAGTGCATAGCTAAAACACATTAAAAGAGACAATCAACAACCAATATTTACAAAAATGTAAAATGTAACTATACTAAATGAAAGCACAAGCACAGTTTCAGAGCAAGTGGGGCCTTACCCGACTCCCATGAGGTAGCGGGGCTTTTCTCTGGGGAGGTGGTCTGTGCTCAGAGTCACCATCTTCCAGAAATCATCTTTTTCCTCTCCCCCACTCAAGCCTCCAATGGCGAAGCCCGGCACATCACGCTTTGTCATTTCTAAATGAAGAAACGCAAAAGGAAGGTTCCAGTAAGGTGCAGCGTAAAAGTGATTAATGCTTCAGGTTTGCGTTTGTCACTCTTTAATGGACCATGTTCATAGTTAATGTGATGAACTACATAATGTTGTTTGTTTGTGTTTAACGCTATTTTCATGGCGAGGAAAATTTATGGCTAAATTATATCAGGTTTTTACAATTTATTTTCACTAAAAACTCTAAAACTGTATTTGGCTTAACTGTTAAAAATCTCTTCAAAAGAGTTTACTGAATAAAACAGTTTTCTCATAGGGTTAAAACCAGCACAATCTAATAAGACATGCTTCAGGGATAAAGGGCTTTGGCAGAGAGAACATGTTGGAGGATCTTCTCCTAGTATTAAAGGGGTCCTATTATGCTCTTTTACAAAGTCTTGATTTTGTTTTGGGGGTGTACTAGAACATGCTCTCATACTAGGTTGTTCGAAAAACACATTATTTTTCACATATTTTAGATTATTACAACACCTCTCCCCAGTCTGGCATGAATGACTCGAATAGTTCCTGTATCAAATGAAGGCCCGCCTTCTGAGCCAGTGTGTGTTGTGATTGGTCAGCTGGGCCAGTGTGTGCTGTGATTGGTCAGCTGGGCCAGTGTGTGCTGTGTTTGGCGCCACTCGGCGCCTGGTCGGGAAATGTCATGCCCCTTACCATAGCCGCCTGCTAGCTTCAGTGTAAATATTGCGTCAAAATCAAATCAATTTGAGCGCGATTTAAACCCGGATGATTGTAACCACTCCAAGTTCATCTGCTTTGGGAAAGCTAGCGCGTCTCCGACATAGTGATAACACTCATTGCTTTCTCTAGTGCAGCTCAACCAGGTCTCGTCCCATTCGTCGGTATTTGTGATATCACAAATCCCGGAAAATATGCATTGTAGTCCAAACGAGTTGTTCGCTGTAGTTTTTGATAAGTGATTTCTGTTAAATAAAATATCTCCTTTTGAATTGGACTTTGAGCTTTGTAACTTTGCAGATCTTTTTTATGCTCAAACAGCAACATTACAGACTAGCTAAAGTTGAAAAAGTGAAAAAGCATAATAGGACCCCTTTAAAAACGTGTGTGCCATCCTGGAATGACCCTACAGCAGGTATAAACAATCTGGTCCCATCAGTTGGAAAACTGATAGAAATGTATTTTTCCAACATTGGGGCTAACTTCATGGAGTTTATTCATTGTATATAGATCCCACTCTGTTTGTCATTTGCTATTACTACATAAAGAGTTAATTTGCAAAAAAATAAGCGCCCGTGTTGTTTTTGAACCGAAGCCGATAAAACCATTTTAGCGAATCAGCGTGCTGTATTCAGGTCAGGTGACAAGGCTACTTTCACTTTGAAAAGACGTGCTAGTTGAGAGGAGTTTCGTCAAAGCTGACTAAAAGCGATCGAGGATGGATAATTTCGACGAACTTGATGACCTTTTATATCTTCTTCTTTTCACATGTTAGGTAATGTTTTCTGACTACTTTTAGATTACTTTTGACATGTTTGAATATTTTGAATCATGTTGATAAAAAAAATACAAGAAGAATTGTATAAATAATATATAAAAATGGTATTCTTTCCTTCATCACACCAAAAAAAAAAGTTTTAAATAATTTTATAGAAATTGCTGAGACAGATTATTTTTTTTAGTAGTAGTAGTAGTAGTATGCAAATGTTTCCAATTAGACTTTAAATGGACTGATGTTTCATGTTGGCTTGATTATATTCACAACAAAAGGAGACTCTACTCATTTCCATAACTTCTCCAGTCTACTCTATCCATCAGACCAACACTCTGCAAAATCTGCTAAACGAATCATGGTATTCTACGTTTTACTCTTACTAGTTCTTCTGGTGTTTGGGAATAGTTTGAAAATAATAATAATTACTGTTAAGAGATTTCTACTCCACTTCATAAATCCATGTAATCCATTGGCTTTCTCTATTAACTCGGGACCCTGTTAGGACACATACAATAACAGTTAAAGAAGTTTAAAATATACAGTGCATTGATTGTGATGAAACACTGACAATTTCTTCTCGCATACCGGCCTCATGCCCAGATGATACGTGTTTCCCAGGCATATCTGACAGTCCAGATCCTGCAGCTGGTCTACAGTGATGTCTTTCAGGGTACCCTGAGTGCCCACAGGCCTGAACACCGGGGTGCTGACAGCGCAGTGGGAGAGAGTAAGCAGAGGATACTGCCTTCACACTCATGTGTGCGGCCGGGTATGGGCGCAGCCATTTTGAATAGCGTTGTCCGATTCACTTGTGAATTGTTCATTTGAGTCGGATCTTTTTGAGGAACGGGATGAACTAGTACAAAAACCACTCTGGGCTCCGTCTCCCAAAAGCATAGAAAGCCTACGTAGATCGTAGATCCATTGCCACCAACGGACTCTACGATCAACTTATCTCACGATGCTTTTGATAAACGCAGCCCTGAACAATTCACGAATCGGTCTGAATCGGTCCAAACGGTTCTCGAGTCTGACTCACTGAACAGTAACGCATGGATTCATATTATAGATTTCAGATTTATATGTGAATGTATCAGACGTTTATATTTCAGAGTGTTAGTTTGTTTTATAAGCTGAATCGTGGCTGCAAGACATGACCACAAACACGTTGTTAATAAAACGTAATGAATAAAAAACTGTAAATGCGTTATAAACAGCACATGTTCTTACACATGACTTTATTTTAAACGTTTTAGAATAGAATGAGTCACGTCGAGATGTCAGGGACCAAGTAATGTAAAAGAATCACCGATTCGCGGAACTGAGTGGACTTGCCGTCACAAGCAATACTCAAAAGTCTCTCCGTATGTCTGAAACCAGTGCAGCATTTTAAATAGGTGTGATGCTGCATGCTAGCCTGAATTCTGCTTTCTTTTGTGGAAAGTGAAAAGAAATTCACTTTCTTCTTCTAGTTTATATACAGTATAACAAACTGGAGAACCCAAACAATGTCTATGTTCTAATACGTAGAGAATATGATTCCATTTTTTTTTTAATGGAAATAGGTTGAATTTATTCAGGGTGATGCAGTAATTAAATATGCACACTTTATTAAAATTAGAATGATTGTTTTTATTGTATATATTCTACGTTGTCTCTACTTCCCAAGTATTTTTATTGAAACTAAATTGACACGTGAGCCGTCCAATAGAACTCCTCGGTCGCTAAAGACCCGAAACGAAGATCGAACCAATCGAAAGACAGAACGCACCAGGAAGCGTTCTTCCGGACCAATCGGATTTCACGACATCGGTTGACAGGAGGCGGGACTCGCGTCACCGGTGGAGGTCGGATGTCGCCTGACCGGATGATAACGAGAAGTTTTGTTTTGTGAGTTTACGAACGACTGAGCCTCAATCAGCACACGTATATGAATGAATGCGCCGTAATACGCGTCCTCTGCCTGTCAGCGAGTGTTTTCTGAGTTATTTGCCTTTGACAGACTGATCTGGAAGTGTTTGGAGGGTGGAAATCGAACACTTGAAAGTAGCCCGAGCGCCTTGCTGCCGCGAGCCCGTTCCTGCGCGCTGAGAGACGGTCAGAAACCATGGGCAACCGGGGGATGGAGGATTTGATCCCCCTGATCAATAAACTCCAAGATGCTTTCAGTACCATTGGCCAAAGTTGTAACTTGGATCTGCCGCAGATAGCCGTGGTTGGAGGACAGAGCGCCGGAAAAAGCTCCGTGCTGGAAAATTTCGTCGGCAGGTTGGTTACTATGTTACTCATTTCTCTTCGATCCCCTGCAAAAAGCCCAGCTCGCTATATTTATGCTTATCTAACTTAATAAGAAGACAAACGTCTCATTGGTCACTTCCCAGCTGCGTTTTTGTACTCGCTGCTCGATCGATTGACTCGCTTAGGTTGTTATTCACAAACGGGAGTTACGCAGTTAACGTAACTCATTTCAATATGCATTGAACTGAAATGGGCGTAAGTGAGAGCGGAGCGCAAAATGGGGAAGTTGGCGGCACAGTGCACTGCACACACACAGACAGACAGATGGAGTTATAGTCCTAGTGTCCGTGGGAGTTGTATTATGCCATATAGGGGAATCAACAACTTTCAGATATCCATTTGCTTTGCTTAAGCCGTTTAAGTCATTTCCTCGTTCAAAAAGCCAATTTACGTTACGTATCCTACTTCACTGACACTGCTCTGGACGTTGACGCCATGCTTTTTGTGTTACATGTCCTTATAAAAACTCTGCTATGGTTGTGTAATTGTGTCGTGTGGTAATAGCATTTACTATGTAATGTGGTACTCAATGATTACTAAATTCGTGTATGGTGATATCTGCATGATACTCCAACGGGCCTCATGGAACACTGTGCCATGGTAACTGTCTAAAAAAGTAGTTTCACTTTTCATTTTTTATTGATGATTACTTTCGTGAGAATTTTACTTTAATTTTACATTTACTCCCAAGTTATTATTACTAAAACATCAGAATGTTTAAATTTGAAAATATTTAAATTCGATTCTTGATTCTTTTTATTATTCTTATTATTATTTGTCAATTAATTGCAAAATAATTTTGAGGCAATACAATCACATATTTTTCCGTTCAAATAAAGTATAAACATTAATTTCAAATTTGCAGTAATGGGAATTGTTATTATTATTAAAACTCAATCAATCAGTCCAATTTCACGACATAGTGAAATCAATTCCCGAAGGACGAAATCAAGCCTGCCAAGTTTCACTTGGATATACGTCACAATAGGAAAAAAAGGACAATCTTAACTTCCGTTTCATGCCAACTTTAAATAAAATATCAATATTATTTCCACATTACAGTAATGAGGTTATTCTGATAGAAAAAATAAATAAAATAGTGTATTACGTTAATGAAAATATAATTGTAAAAAATCCTTCAAAAGTAAACATTACAATAATGCATTACATTTTCTCTCTCTCTCTCTACACACACACACACACACACACACAAACACACACACACACACACACACACACACACATATATATATAAAATATCTATATTATTTCCACATTACAGTAATAAGAATACTGTACAAAAATTGTACTATAATAAAAAAATGGATTTAAAAAGTCCTATATACAGACAATTCGCTCATAAATTGTCCACCTACATACTATAGCATTAGATTCAGTGTTTCCCACAGGATTTTGTGAGACTGTGGTGGGTGGTCCTCGATCCCTCTGGGGGGGGGTCCGGGGGCACGGCCCCCCCCCCCCCCCCCCCCCCCGTAAGAAAATTTAGTATATTTTAAAGTTAAATTCATAAATCTGGTGCACTTTGAGAGTTCAAAATGAAGAGCTCCAACACAGGTTCAGTGTGCAAAGTCAAAGAAAAAAGCTGGGGAATGTACTTGTTCTTGAAATTTAAAGGAGACTCAACCCTCTTTTTAGTTGTGATATAGTGTCTCAGTCTCTGAGATGATTTTTTTGTTTGTTTTTCAGGTATATTATTTTACCTTACTCTACTGTAGGGAAATTGCAATACTTTTGTCCTCATTTCTACACTTGCAAGCAGGGCCTAAAACTAACTTTCACATCTGCGAGTGACTAATGACTTGAGAAAATTGACCGGCCATAAATATTTTTCCTTGCCATTAAACTGTTTTTGCTAAAAACGGGCAGTTGCTACTACTACAACAACGAAACATATATTTAATAAAAAAAAGCCATTTGAAATTAGAACCAACCACTGCATTTTAATCACGATACAAACAAAGATAAAACCTGCATGAAACAAAAACAGACAGGCTGAATGAGAACGCAAATTCACTCTCTGACAGCAGGTGGTCCCTGATAGCACAGGTACATCTCGGAGACGTCTATTTGACGTCTGCATTTACATCTGCAAGATGTATTTTTTAGAGTGTTTGCTCATCTGCAATACGTCTATAGGACGTTTCCTAACAGATGTCAAATAGACGTTTAGAAGATGTCTTTAAGATGTTAATGATTTAGAATGCATGTAAAACTGACATCTTAAAGACGTCTATCAGATGTTTGTACACAGCAGATGCTTTCCAGATCAAGAGATCTTTAACAGACATCTTGCAGACTTGCATGTGCTATCTGGGGTGGTTATGGATCAGCAATGATAAGGGGGGAAAAAATGCCATCAAAACTTTTGTGAAGTCAGTTCCCTTCAGAAATACATTCATATAAACCCCAACCCCGATATTTATATAGTTT